CTTCTAAGGGCGTAACGTTTAGGTGTTTTTGTTATTTTTAAAGAGTTCTCATATTCTTGTCTGTCTTGAGGGGATAATCTTGCAACATCTTCATCCTTCATTAGAATATATTTTGGCCTTTCGTTTAGTAAAAAACGTTCATACCGCTCTCTTTCCTTCGGTTTCATCATAGCCAAGTCACTTTCTTTCCAATCAACAGAGTCTAGCCAATTGTGAAAAAAGTTGTGCTTGAGTTTTGGTCGTTCCTGTTCTGTTGGTGGTGGCGTAAAGAAATTAGGTTTAGGAGTATCAGGCACTGGTGGTGGTATTTCCGCTGGTACAGGCGTAGGAGGCACTTGTGGTGGTATCTCAGCAGATACAGTAGTAGGAGACACCAGTGAAGTTCTCTGAACAGGAGCTTGAGCCGGGACATCCATCTTATTTTTGAATGTGAGAAACCGATTTAGTTGATCAGAGTAAAGCTTGCTTTTTTCCACCACAGAAGGTTGTGGCGCTTCCATAATTTCTTTCATTCTGTGTTCGACTCTTTGTTATATATATATATAATATTTATATTATTAGTGTTATGTTACTTTATTCATGTACCTTTTAAATTTGCACGCCCTCCTTGGAAATCACCATTTGCTGAAGGAGTAAGCGTGTCTAAATAAAGATTTATCTTAACTTATCATACATTGCATTTGCAAATGGTGGTTGACGATACGACTGTTTGTGTAAAAACTTTGCAATCTCGCCGGGAAGTACGTTGGTCTTGAGTCGTTGTTGATCGTCTGTTGTTGGCTTTAAATCCAACATCAAGTACCCATGAGGTCGGCGCGTAGCATCTTCATAACTCCTCATAAGTTCTTGTACTCTATCAGGATCTACTTGCCTTGCAAGCATAGAAATTTTCTGTTTATCTCTTGGTGACTTGAGCAACACGATATAATGAGCATTAAGGCTGATATTTCGCATTTCTCTGCCCTGATGAAATATATTTTGGACAATATAGATGATAGACAAATTTCGATGATGGCTTCCTTTCGTAAAAGATCAGCAACACGTTTATTTTTGCCAGATTGAGCCATAAGGTCGTCCAATACGATCAAATTCCGTTGAGATACGTGCAAGTAACCTGCGTTGTCGATATCGTCGGGAATGCCTTGATTAAACTCGATTCCAGGCATCGTTCTCATCATATCAAAATAGTAGGGTTGCCGCTGACCATAACACCAAATGATCCGTTGGGAAGCAGCAATTATAGTCGTTTGAGCATTCTCCAAGAGAGATTTCACCCATACGGTTTTGCCGCTTTGTGTACACCCAGCTACGATACACATAAAAGGATGCTGCATAACAATGGATCTATTGCCGATTACAGTTAACCTTCTTTCATCGGTACTGGTGCTATGCATCTGTTTTTGTGACGTGAACGGTTACCAGGTGTCGAAAACGGTCTTCCACAGACCTCGCAAGGATAAGACATGTTTACAGGTTCACAATCAAATGTAAAATGAATTTGAAGTTTGTATACCGTTACATAAATAGTATTATATGGTCAAACCAACATAAATAATCCTATGATATTGATATTCCAAGATACTGTACGATATCCTAAGATATTGAATGATATCCTAAGATATTGAATGAAATCCTAAGATACTGTATGATATCCTAAGATATTGTATGATATCCTAAGATATTGTATGATATCCTAAGATACTGTATGATATCCTATGATACTGTATGATATCCTAAGATACTGTATGATATCCTAAGATATTGAATGATATCCTAAGATACTGATATTCTAAAATATTGATAACCTAAGATATTGACATCCTAAGAAATTGGAAGATAAAATCTATTTTTGTTAATATATAAATATGTTATTTCCAACTAACGCCCGTATTCTGAAAGCTTACTCACACTCTCACTCACACTCAATGAGTGGAGGTTCAATCTGAGCCTCTCTTGAGTGTCAATGCTGTTTTTTAATAGCTGGAGGGTGAGTAGTCACATAGTAAGGTATGACACTTGCCTTCCAGCTATTCAAAAACAGCAACGACACTCGAGAGAAGCTCAGATTGTACTTCCACTCATTGAGTGTGAGTGAGCTTTTAGAATACGGGCGTAAGTCTTCATTCCGTTGCTGACCGCCGAACAGAGATGACTAGCAGTTATATTAAACACCGACCGTTTGTGGAGCTCTTTTGTATTTCTCATCCAATTCAACAGCAAGCTTTGTTGAATTCTGCATCTCATGAACAGAGTCGCTTTCTATGTAATTGTTTGGAAAACTTTACATATACTAAGGGAACATTAAACAAACTTGGACCATTTAAAGATGATCTCGCTGACTTGGTGGACAGAAGTAGGAGTTTTAGAGAGAAAAGGAAAATTCTTGTTCAGCGCGGGAGTGGTTTTCCAGCATTGGTACTTGCGCCATTTTTAGCGGGCCTTGCAGAATTAGTATAAACTAATCATCATTAATTAATTAATTAACATCGTCATTCCAACCATGGACTGCAAGGAAAGATCATCTCCGAGACATTGGCGCGTTGAAGATATACCTGGACACTTAAACGACAATGTTGATAAAAACAATGCTGAAGAACTTCTTCACAGCATTCTCACGTCCACGGATATTCTCACATGGAGTCTTCAAAGGGAAATTGTATACAAAGGACAGAATATACGTGAAACAAATATTGTAGATCTTTTGCAATATACTGTGTTACCATATAATACTGAAATTCCAGAACCGGCTGGACTGAATATATTTCTTAAAGGTCTTGCACAATTGGAAATTGATAAAAGCCTAATCGTAAATGGGCGTGTCCTTACAATGTTAGCCCACAAGCAGCCACTACATGATGTGGATACACAGTCTGATAAATCCGAAGATGAGTCTGAAGATGTGGACACACCTTGTAACAGTTGTAAAAAGATTTACACATCTCCCATTTGGGTACATGCCCTGGATGCACATGGACAGATTTTTATCCCAATTGTACAAGGTGTCCCTGTATGATCTGTGATTTTCGACTGTCCGAAGGAAATTTCACCCATGTAATCGCCAATTGCTCACATTGTCATTGTGATGAAATTATGGTTGTTGATACTGATAAAAAGACTTTTTTTGAGCATAAAATAGACGAATAAAGTTATATTTGATCAGTTGACTGTGTGAAGTTGAACTGAACACATCAATATGCCAAGGGCTACACTTGTTGTAGACGAAAAACTATTGAGAGACCATTTCCTGAGACAACAACGTGGCGGAAACATCGCTGGGTTTCGTGGTGCACGTTTTCAAAGACGTTATGGGATCGGAGGTATTTTCAAGGGTCTTGCGAGATATGCTATCCCTCTATTCAAACAAGGTGCTAAGGTTGTTGGCAAAAGAGCATTGCAAGCAGCCACAGAAGTTGGTCAAGATATACTCCAAGGAAAAAATGTCCGAGAATCTGTAAAGACTCAGAGAGGTGACGTTGTTAAGACTTTGCTGAGCAAGGAGCAAGGACTCTTCTGCGTCAAACTGGGCATGGACGCAAGAGAAGGCGAAGTCAACGCAGTAATCTATCATATGTCAAGAAGCAAAAACTGGAAGCCCCAAGACTTACCAAATGGATAACGGATGACGAAAGCAGCTACGATGACGAATCGAATAGTGAAACATCTCAAACAAGTGACGATATATATTAGAAGAAGACCGTACTAAATTTTGTAAAACGTTTTGAAGAAATAAATGTATTTTAAAACTGATTGTGTAAAATTTTGCTCGCAAAGCCTCGTGCCAGATTTTAAGGCATACCCCTGCGTTATAAATAATCCCTATCTATCCATTGGGATACACTTAGTTATGTAAATTCGTATTGTCTCAACCCCTTAATTACCTACACGCCTCCTAATCACTTAGCAACACATAACTACACAACATTTTCAAAAATTAAAACATGTTTATTGATACAAATAACAGACGATAGTGTCAAAAAAATGACAACTAAGACTGTTTGTTGAACTGTTTTAAAAGTTTTTTCTCCAAGAATCCTTGATAAGCAATTTATGATCGGCCTCAACACTTCTAAATCGTTCATGCGTCGCCTTCACAGAATAGATAGATAGATAGATAGATAGATAGATAGATAGATAGATAGATAGATAGATAGATAGATAGATAGATAGATAGATAGATTTTATTTTGACACGTTAACTACGTCAATTAAAAACATTGATTTCCACGAAGGGCGTGTGTTCAAAAGTTATTATATATAAGTGCTGTTATGACTCTTATGGAATCAAATAAAAGAAAATAGAAATAATCTAACTGTTCCAATTGACAAAATTAACAATATAGACAACTAACAAAACATATAGATAACTCTTTACAATGAAGGATATATATATGTATGTATAAATATATTATTTAGTAACATGAGCAGCAATTTTTCTTTCAAATAGAGACTGGGACCTAATTCCTCTGATTTCTTTAGGCACTGAGTTCCATATTTTTGCCCCATTAAACATGAAACTCTTTTTCATGCTATTTGTGCGGGGCTGTGGCAAAACGAGTGTTGTTTCATTTTCACGGAGGCAGTAATGTGTATTCTCATTCTAACATTCTTGTAGGTAAAAAGGTCTGTTAGGCTTTTAGGCACAGACATATTCAAAATTTTGAACATTAATTTTGCCTTAGCTTTAGTTCATTGTACTTTTAGTGTTTCCCATCCTAACGAATTTAATGCGATTTGGGCATTAACTTCGTTACCCATGTCCATAATAATTCGAGCGCATTTATTTTGAAGCTTTTGTAATCGTTGTGATTGAGTTTCACCAAAAATGTCCCACACTTCAGAACAATAAGTAAAGTATGGTTGTACAATTGCGTTAAATATAGAAACAAGTGTATCACGGTCAACAAATTCTTTTAGTTTTCTAATAACAGAAATGGCTGATGTGATTCTCTTACAGATACTCTCAGTGTTACTTTTCCAAGAGAGATGCTGATCAACTATTACTCATAGTGTCTTGAATAACTTCACTTGTTTAATTGGTCTGTTTTCAATCAGTATGTTTAAATTTGAATCTGAAACAGTATGCACTAGAGATCTTGATCCTATGAGCATAAATTCAGTTTTGGCAATGTTTAGACTCAGTTTGTTCGCGTTTAACCACATTCTGAGGTTTTCCACATCAGAGTTCACTGCATTTTCAACATCATCAATTGTACCACCGGAAGCAGTGAGGTTTGTGTCATCTGCAAAAAGTCTTGGCTTTGTCCTATTTAGGCTTTCAGATAAATCATTTATGTATATTAGGAAAAATAAAGGACCTAAAATGGAGCTTTGAGGGACACCACACTTAACTTTGTGTTCAGACGAGACAACATAATTTACTTGGCATTTTTGGGTGCGATCAGTAAGATATGATCTCAACAACAAATGTGCCTTATCCTTAATACCGTAAATTTGCATTTTCTCAAGTAGAATTTCGTGATCTACGGTGTCAAATGCTTTATTTAGATCTATAAAAACTACTAAGTTAAACATTTTTCGAATCATGTTAACATGCCAACTATTTGTTGAATCTAAAAGGGACGTAGCGGTGCAGTAAAACTTTCGAAAGCCAAATTGGTTATCAGAGAAAATTTCGTTTTTAGTTAAATAATCATACAGCTGGTCATACAGTAATCTTTCCATGATTTTGCTTATGACTGGTAGTATCGATATTGGCCTGTAATTACCAGGAATATTACGATGACCACTTTTATAAAGAGGTAAAACTCTAGCTACTTTCCATTCATCTGGAAAGCTGCAAAGAGTAATACTTTGATTAAAAATATATGTAAGTGTAGCAGTAATAACTGGTGATGCTAATTTAAGAATTTTACTGGAAATTTTGTCAATACCACACGCTTTGTTACAAGACAGCCCTCTTAAAAGATAAAAAATTTTGTTTACCGCAATTGGTGTAAATGCAGTGAACTCGGATTCAGAACTTTTAGTATACTTTTGAAAGTCACAGCTAGATTCATCCAACTTGCTTGCCAAGTTTGGTCCAACATTTGCAAAGAATTCATTTAACCCTTCTGCAATCTCTGTAGGATTTGTTAATAAAGGAATACCGAATGGTTTTCCGTGCAGGATTGCGTGATCCATGCACGCGGGATGTTGCGAGACTTTCGGAAAGCGTGAAAATACACGAGCCGTAAGCGAGTGTATTTTTACGCTTTCCGAAAGTCTAGCAACATCCTAAGTGCATGGATCATGCTATCCTGCACAGGAAAACCATTTGGTAATTGTTTTATAAACTTACTACAGTGAAACGACGGTTAACTTGATTAAAATTACTGATGAAATGTGCAGTTCTCACAACAATCGTCAATTAACCAATTGGAGAATCGCTACTCCACGCTATTGAAAACAACAACAAATCCGAACAGAATTTGATCGCAAATTCGCGAAAATATACAGCGAAAATACAGAGATTTTTTCGATAAAATTTACGAAATTTGAAATGGAAAACCCCTAAACAGAGAGCCAAAGTAGTTATGAAAAGATTCTCGATCTGAATACTTGAAGATTGCGAAGCGTTTGAACTTTGAAGCAACTAGCGAGAGATGTTGTACTTGCCATGGTCTGATGAATTTCAACGCTACGCGTTTCTACTTGCTTGAACAGCCGTATCGATCAGAAATTTATTCATACAACTAAACCAACGTCAATGCGAGTATATTTGTAAAATTATTTTACAATGCGAGTATATTTTACAATGCGATTAATTTTACAATGCGAGTATATTTGTAAAATTATGTGCAAGAATTTCTGTTCAGAATTTCCCGTGCAGGATTGTCTGATCCTGCACGGCTGTTGACCAATCAAATTGCGTGTTTCACTGTAGTTATTTTATAATTTATATTCATTAATAATTAGTTCATTTATAATCGTGGGTTTCTTACCCTTTCCGATCAAACTATTAATAGTCTTCCAAGCCTGCTTTGGATTGCACTTTTGGTTAGCAATCTTTTCAGAATAATAGTCTGTTTTGGCTTTCCTTAATTCGGTATTTGTTTGATTTCTGGCTTTTTTATAAATGAGCCAATCAGATTCTTGTTTAGTAATAATTGCTTTTCTTTTCAATTTATCTCTTTCGGTTATGAGCATTTTAATTTTTCTTGTAAACCAAGGGACACTTATTGATTTTATTTTTTGTTTTAAAGTGGTGCATGCTTATCCAGGACCTCTAAAAAGACTTTTTTCCACATCTCCCACATAGTATTTGGATTATCTGGAAAATAATAAATATGATCCCAGGGTTGATTTTGCAAATCCTTAAGAAAATTTAATTTAGATCATTGAATTTCTTCATGTTTCTAATTTCAACAATATTTACATGACGTTTTACAGAAAAATTTATTTTTCTTATTGCGAAAATCATGCTATGATCACTAATTCCAGTATGTATTAACCCAGAGTCAGAAATTTTCTCTGGTCTATTTGTAATAAAATGATCAATAAGGGTGGATGTTGATGATGTTATGCGCGTAGCTTCATCAATCATTTGTGACAATTGACAAAGTTCATATATGGATTTGAGTTTTTTAGTTAATTGGTCTGGATTTGTCTTAAGTAAATCACAGTTTAAATCACCAAGAATGTGAATTTCTTTGTTTTCATCATCTATTTTTTTAATGAAACTTTCTAAATCGGTAAAAAATTCTGATGACGGATTTGGAGGTCTATAAGCTGTTACTACGACGAACGGCTGACTTTAAGCCTTAATGATTTCAATACAAACAGCTTCAAGATTCTTAGGCACTAGATCATGTCTAATCCGATAATTAATGGAGCTACGCAAATACATGCAAACACCACCTCCACTTCTTGATCTATCTTTTCGGATGATATCATAACCATCGATATACATTTGATTATCTGAAATTGATGAATCAAGCCTTGTTTCATTAAATGCGATTAAATCAATGAATTTGTTTGACAATGAAAAGCTAATTTCATCATATCGTTTTGGCAAGCTAACAACATTTAAAAAGGCCATTTTAAAGCCTCTTTCATTAGGAATAGAATTAATCTCATTGAAACAATTGCTGCTCCTGTTTTGGGTTAAATAGCAACTATCATTAATATTTATTTCTTCATTATATTGGTTACTAGCTTCAGGTGATCTGACCATTCCTTCATTCGATGGCCCAGTGCAAGCCGAAAAAAAGGCTTATTTTTGCCATGCAGCTTCTGATTTATGAACAGCATTGCGGCTAATTTTAACTAACTTTAGGTAAGAGCAAAATTTCTTGCCCAACAACTTGTCTCCATTTTTGTTCAAATGGAGGTTGGATCTATTGAGATGGGATTGATCTATCTCGCTGTTATCTAAAAATGCTACTTCATACCTCTTGCACAAGATGAGTAATAGGTTATTTGCTTCCTCAATTTTTTGGTTGGATAATTTACCATCAAATCTTTTTACCACACTTGACACCGCAACATCACTTGAATGGATTTTTGCCACTTTTATAAGACTTTCCATACGTTGAGCAACTTGATGTGGACTTTCATTGACCAGGTTGTTGGTTCCTGCATGGATAATTACTGCTTCATAATTCTGACTATCATCTGACCAATGTTCCTTGATCTTTTCTTCAAGATGTTGTATTCTTGCTCCACTATAAGAGTGACACTGGGTCGATTTAGTTTTGGCCGCTCTGGATATTTTTAAATTGTCAATATTCTTGACCATGGAGTCACCAATGATGAGTACTTTTTTCTGTTCTGATGGTGACTGATTATTTGGGGGACATTCACTATGGCTATCAACACTTGACGTATTTTGATCTGTTTTTCGCAATTTTTTGACAAACTTAGATGACTGTGAATTACGGTAATCTTTAATTTGCCCTTGAAATCCACTATCTGAGCCACTGTCCGAGGTATTGACTGGTATTTCGTCATCTTCAACAGTCAATGCATCAAAATGATTAAAGGTGGAGAGTCCCTGTTGTGGAGAGTCAGGAACAGGCACTTGGTTACAATGGTTTGAAGATTTCGCTTTTATCCAGACAGTCTGTTTCATATCAAATGTCTTTTGAATTGCTTCATTGTCAAGCTTCACCTGCTCTAGGGTCACTTTCATATTATCAAGTTCACTCTCCAATTTCCTGTTTTTGTTAATAAGCATGTGGATTATGCCATCTTGGCCTTCGATTAATTGGTATTTATTTCTCTCAATTTCGAGTTCGCTTTGCTTAGTTCCAACTACGCTATAAAGCGACAATAATGAATCTAGCTTAAGTTTTATTTCATCCAATTCTTCTCTGTGTTTTTGGCAATTACTGCAATTCGATGACATGTCGGATTGATTTACATACTCGTCGTTGGCATTTTCAAATTCCATCGCAACATGTTCATTATCCTCGCCGCTATACTCGTCAGCATGTTCCCTAAGCATTTCGGCTAGATACAACTCTTCGTTGTCAGTTACAATGACAATTTTCTTCTTGGTAGTACCATACCATTTGAACGCGAAGGTAGGATTTGTGAACAATTTCACTTCGCCGCCGGGTGACGACCATTTCCCGTTTGATAGCTGAAGGTCATCCTGAACAAATTCCTTTAATTTGTCTAAATTTCCATCCCAGACAAATTCGTTGCAGTTAAAACGTAACCTTGGGGTTACTAGAGATTTTTGTGTGTTTACTTCGCTGATAGAATCAGAAAAGCTTGGTATAATTTGTGAATTTGAAGAGCTAGACAAATCAAGTGCTACCGCCATATTGATATATGATACCCGAAAAGTAGTCAACTATTTGGCTACTTTAAGTTAAAATTTAGTTCGCTATAACTACAACTACTGTTTTAAAAAAGTAGTCAAAAACTACTGGCTACTTGAAAATTGTAGTTTGCTACAGTAGCGACCCTACTACTACTTCGCTACTACCCACCCTTGAATATAAGCGGTTGAACTCGTGCCGAAAACCAGACATATATTCTGACTAGAATGTGTATTCCGACGGCAATTTTTACACCCTCGTTTAGGCAACGAATTCTCGCTCAATATTCTAGCTACAATACTATAGCTCGTACCAAAATGTAGCTGAATTCACCAGCTATATGACAATATGTGTAAAATTATTGTAGCTGTAATATTCGCACAGATATAGTCGAATAAAAGTCGTATGTTTATGTTGCATTAAACTTTCTAATTATAATTCTGGTTTCAAGTTTTGTTTACATCGCTCAATATTGTAGCTACAGGAATATAGCTCCACTAAAATGTAGGCATTTTCACAAGCATTCAAACCATCTGCGGTAGGGGTGAATATCGTTAAATTTCGAATTAATATAAGTGGTTGAAACTCGTGCCTAAACCAGACTATAATTATTGTCCGACGGAATTTTGACACCCTTACTCGTTTTAATAGACAACGAATCACACAATGCAACATAAACATTTATTCGACTATATCTGTGCGAATATTACAGGTATAATAATTTTGCGCATATTTTCAGATAGCTGGTGAATTCAGCTACATTTTGGTACGAGTTAGAACATTGTAGCTAGAATATTGAGCGAGAAAACGTTGTCTAAACGACGGGGTTTTTTATTCGATTATATCTGTGCGAATATTACAGCTACAATAATTTTATACATATTGTCAGATAGCTGGTGAATTCAGCTACATTTTGGTACGAGCCAGGCCCGGAGCTGAGGGGGGGCCTGGGGGGGCAAGGCCCCCCCTAGCGCCAAGGAAGTAAAATTTTTTTGTGGAATGTGGAAGCACTTCAATTTGTGGAAGGTGGAAGCACTTCAATATGGCTTCCATTGACATTGTCAGTGTGAAAAATGAATAAAACATTATTGGATTACTTCTCGAAAAAGCGGAAAAAGTCAAACAACAATGAAGGAGAGTCAAGAGAAAGTCAAGAGAGCATATCAGAAATGTCGGTATCTGGTGAATCCATTGATGATGACAGCACTAATACGACTATCGACACCGATCATGAGCATCGAGATTCAAGGAGTGAAGCGCTGCGAGATACTGGCACGACCGTCACCGTAATAAGCCATCCATCAGGTTTGAATTTGCAACATGAAGATCGTGGGCAAGTCCAGGAGAACATACATGGACCTCAACTGCCTCAAAACGACCATTCTGGAAAACCAAATTTTTTTGATAACAAGGAAGGCCCATGCCAACCGTACTTGAAGGCATACCCAGGTACAAGTTTCAGAGGTAAAATACGACGCTTCAATTCTAACTGGTATGGCGAATATAAGTGGTTGGAATACAACACGGATTTGGACGCTTGTTTCTGCTTCCAGTGTAGAGTATATTCGCCTAATCCAACGGAGACCGTATTTACTAAAAGTGGCTATCGCGACTGGAAACACGCTAAGGACAAGGCAAAGGGATTCCAGCAACACCAATCCTCGATTGATCATTCGAAAGCAACACAGGCTTACGAAGAAGCGAAAATGCGAAATGCACGTGGCTGCCCCGTAACAGCATCTTTTGTATCATTAAATAATGATCAGAAGCAATGGTTATTTGCTGTTTTTAACGTTTCAAGATTTTTATGTGCGAATGGTCTCGCGTTCCGTGGTTCTGATGAATCCGATATTGACACAGGAGATGGCTTGTTTTTAAGAGCTTTTTCTCAACTTCTGTTTCCGCTGGAAGAAAAATGGAGGAAAATTCACAAGAATCTTCCAAAAAACGCTAAGTACACTTCCCATGACATACAGAATGAAGTCATCGAAGTCTTAGCTTCCTTAGTGAAGACCAAAATCGCCGAAGACGTGCGAAAGGCAGAACTGTTCACAATCATGGCAGATGGCACAACTGACAAGAACAGGAAAGAGATTCAAGGTATCGTTTGTCGGTATTTATCGTCGGACGGGAATGTTAAGGAACGATGTATTAACGTCAAGGGAATCGATGATCGCTCAGCTAAAGGTATTTTCAAATTCATCAAAGAAGCTTTGGTACAATTTAACATTTCAGTTGACGGCCTTGTGTCACAATCCTTCGATGGGGCAAGCGTGATGTCAGGTGACTACGGCGGCTTGCAGAGGTTAATTAGTGATTTTTGCGATCGGAATGTGTTATATGTACACTGCTTTCTCCACAAAATCCACCTGGTTGTCAGCTTTCTCATGCAAAATCTTGACGAAGTAAAGGAATATTTTGATACTACAGCAGCCCTGTACAAGTTCTTTAAGAAGTCAGCTGTGTTAGAATCGTATAACGGCACTGCATTGAAACGGCTTATTGAGACGCGATGGTCTGATCACTTTGAAAGTACCAGCCATGTGCACAAAAATTATGGCGATTTGATCCAAGCGCTTATGGTGGCATCAAAAAATAAGAAGTTATCTGGTGAAGATCGAGCACAGGCAACAGGGCTCCTTAGCCTAATGGAAGATAATGAAGACCACGTGTTTGTCTTCATAACTTGTATGTTGATGGATGTGTTGAAACCTATTGATATTGTTGTTAAACAATTACAATCCC